CACACACACACACACACACACACACACACACACACCCTTTTGGAAAAAAGCAACAGCACAAGGATAACAACTCAAACTCTAATTTGGTTAGGAAGAAAAGAAGAGGTGGTGAAGGCTGTGGCTTGCCTGAAAGCACCTGCCAACATCTGAAAGAATGGACGCCAGATGATTGTAATCATGGAGGAATTTCATCACAGTGTTCCTGATATTCTAATTTCTTAAAAATTTAGAAATTTGAATTTTTAGGTAAAAGCTCTAGATTTCATAGTGTTGGTTTAGATTAAAACAAACTCTTAGTTCGTCAAAGGTAACATCTTGACAGATCAGATTGGGCCTGTGCTTTGCAACCAGTTTTCAACCTCCTTCAATCCTTCGGTTCAGAAATTATATAATGTGATTTACACAATTTTATAATAAGATACTTTTGAAATGTTACCAAATTGTAATTTTTAGGGACTTTAAAAAAGTTACATATGAAAAAAGAATCTTCCCCGTGGAATTTGTTAGACTGGTGATTTTACAAGCCAATGTTCTTTGCCATGAGTTCTTTGTTAGTTTAAGTATTTTTAAGCAAAATCTATAGTTTTATAAATTGCATAATTTTATAACGTTACAGTATAACATGCTTTATGCTCAAGGTTAATAAGAGCACTATTTTGATTTTATAGTCTCTAATCCTCTTTCTGAAGTTCTTTTTTTTTCCTAAGTGCTTTATTTTATAAATGACAACCTTATACAGCTGTGTGGGTTGTGTACTATATAATTTCAGAAAGTGTGTTTCACATAGATTGTGATAAAAATGGCGGTCTTGGGTACTGTAAATGATTAGCAAGCTCACCTGTTAACTGAAAGGTTGGAAATTTGAGTCTACCTAGAGGCACCTTGGAAGAAAGGCCTGGCAGTCTACTTCTGAAAATAGCCATTGAAAACCCTATGGAGCACAGTTCTACTCTCACGCACGTGAGGTTGCTATGAGTTTGTGTTGACTCAAGACCACTAGTTAAAACTGGTTTGTTCCCTTCAGAACTATTCTATTCAATATAGTAGCCATTAGCCATATGTGGCGCTATTTAAATTTGAATTAATTAAAATTTAAAATTAAAAATTCAGTTCCTCAATCACACCAGACAAATTTTAAGTATTCAATAGCCACGTGTGTCTAGCGGCTATGATATTGGACAGTATACATATAGGACATATTTATTTATCATCACAGAAAATTTTAGGGGACCACACTGATATAGACTAAGAATGTCTTCTTGAGACATTCTTAGACTTCACAAAGGTAGTTTTATCCAAATATTGTTTTACGTATCTTTAAAAATTGAGTATAATACTGTATCTTTTGATGTTATATAGAGACTTCAATTGTAATGGTTTAAGTCAGAATACGTTTCCCCAACAAGCAGAAGCATTGGCCCAAATAAGAGCAAAACTAAGTTATAGTATATTTCTTTTACGTGTCTTTCCCAATAAATTCCTCACTTCTTTATCCACTTCCTTAAAACAGTAGATTTATCTAAAAATTAACAGTAATTTCTTCATTTATACAATCTATTGGCAATTTTAATCATTAAAAGAAAAATGATAGGAAAAATATTGCCTGCCAATAGTCTGAGTTTGAGTGACTATCTAAAGTAGTAAATACTTAAGATGAACTTATAAAGAAAGGGCCATAACTTTAGAACCTCATGAAAATGAACAAAAAATTAGTATTGTCCTTAACGCTGAATGGTCGAATTGCTCAGTGACAGCCAGGACTGAGAACTTTCCATGAAACTTTCAATACAGGATTAACGACTATTTGTAGCAGTCAAGTCTTTTTTAGATTCAGTAAACTGCTTTTAAATACACCTCACTTTTGGACAAAAAAAACTTCATCTTGGCACACAATGGGAAGATATTGAAACATAAATATTTCTCTCTTAACAAATAATTTTTTTTTTTAATAACAGTCTATTTCAAAAGACCTATTAAAAACCATCCCTAGTTCTTTTAGTACCCTTTGGCACTATTTTCAAAAAAGTACAATGGAGAAGATAGCATAAAATATCAATTACCAGCCATGACCCATAGAATCAAAGAAAACTAGTCAATATTATGAATATGTAGAGCATAGTACATGGTTTCAGAGACTCCAAATCAGACCCTAATTGGTTTTATGAAATTCACTGATTATAATGAATGCTCTATAGTGAAAGGACATATAAGTAGGCCACAGAAGGGTTGGTAAAGTAATGTCATTTAATGGGCAAGCAGTGCCTAGAGTACACCATTATTTCACTGTGCAACTTCTATGTAACTGTCAATGATTTAATAATCTCTATGCTTCACAAAGGCAAAAGCTTGTTCTTAAAAACCAATACTTACTGTAGAGTAAAGAGAAGAAGTGCTGGAAACAAGCGACAGTGAAGAGCCATGAACTGTAGAAAACCAAAAGAGATAAAATAATAAACCCCACTCATACACCCCAGGCCTTTCCTGAAAATATGAAGAAAAGGTTGTTACAGAAATAAAATAATAACAACGAGCTCTACAAATCTGAGAACAATCCTGCTGTTGTTTTTTAGAGATCAAAATGTTCAAACGTGAAGTTCCCATAGGAATCCCTCAAAGTACCTCCTTCACCATGTTATTGGGAGGATGACAAGCATGAGACCTATAAATATGTTTTGCACATATTGGAAGATACGGTAAACTCAAATATAACAGTAAAAAAATCATGGAAAGTCAGACTAAAGTTGCTATAAAAAAATAACACTTTGTGTATTTTATTTGTTTTCATTTTTATACCATTAAGATCCATTTTCGGAATTTTTTCCCATATACTTTCAAAGAAATAAACATTTTATCTAACTTACAATTTCAACATTATCTGCAATGAGTTGATCACGTTTGTTTAAATGTAGGATTATTAGTCCTTTAGTAATTGTAGTAATAAAAAATACTTTTTAGTTCAAGGTGGTGGCTCACAGAAATTAAAAATGAAAATGGCACTCACATACTGCCTTCTGGCTGTGTGTCAAAATACCATCTTTAAACAGTTAAAAGCTTGCCTTAGCTTAATAATTGTGCACTTCCAATACATTAAAACCCAAAGGTGGATAACACTATGCTTTACAATATTTGTTGAAAAATTCTTCCTCTTTTCATAATGTGGTACTATACAGCTATATCTGCTTATTCATTCATTAAACAAATATTAAACACACAATGTGACCAGCTCCTGCTAAGTTCTGGGACAAAAAAACTGAATAAGACACATGGTAGGTGTTTATAAAGAAGCAGAAAGATACTTAACTAAAAAGGTACTTACAATAGAATAGGTACATTACTCTTTAGTGTTACCAAGAGTAATGTACTGGGTACTATAAGAGTACTTGGGAGGAGTTCACAACCAGGTCTGGGGAAGGCTGGGGAAGCTGCATCAGGATAGTGGCGGTGGGAATGAAAAGAAAGGGATGCACTTCAGAAATACACTAAGCACTTCTTTAAAACAGATTGGGTATAGAGATGTGGGTCAAAAGCAGAATGAAGAACGACTCCCAGATTTCTAGCTTGGGCAAATACTACCACTCTATGAGATGTGCAAACTGTTAGTCTTTGAGTCCATTACTCTGCCTCCCCATCGCCCCCCCCCCCAAAATTACATTCTTTCAACTTCTTAACACTAGCATGAACTAAGAGTGTTAGCTTGGTGTACCAGAAAGAAGGTGGACAAGGACTCTGGAGATCACTTTTCCATTCTTTTTCTGTTATATATTATTTATAAGTCTTCTATAACCTTATAACTTGTGACTCAGTCTCCTTATCTGTTACTGTGAGCATCGAGCAGGTATCACTAAGATACATCTCTCTAGTTCAATAATTTTTTGATTCCAGACCATACCGGAAGAATTATATCTGTATTTAACGAGCAGGCATCAAAAGGCAATCTCATCCACTCATGTGTCCAGCAATTCAGACTTATCAGTCCTCATACATGGAAGGCCAGAATTTCCCAGCATACAAACAACATTCTATTTGTAAATGAAGCACTCTAGAAAGCCATCACTGTGCTTTGCAAATTATTTTTACAAAATTATAAGAAGCCTGACTGTGAAGAGAACAACAGAAGCACTTCAGGACAGTAATGATGTTAAGTTTCAGACTGGTTATATTTTGCCTGTCTATATTGGCAGTAATCAGCAGACTCTCAGAGTATGATTCACTATCTGTCATGCTAAACTCAGAGGCTCGGTTAATATGCCAATTGTAGTGGCAATTGTGGTCAACTGATCAGTGCCAGCATTTTACGCATAGACTGATGATCTCAAAAACATGAGCCAATTCTCATAACTGCCTACACTTTTAGTGAGAAGTTTAGAAAATAGACAGAACTGTTCTTTAATTTCATCCTTATAACAAACCTGTGAAGTTACAGATGCAGAAACTAGAGCTAATAAAGTTAAAAAACATGCCCAAGTTCATTCCAGAAATAAATGGATGGGCAGAGGCTTAAATCCTAGTCTATTTCAAGATTTGGAGACATTTCTCCTATATGTAATTATTTAGACGAGGAGAGTATGACTGATTTCATGTCTGTTCTATTCTCATCAATCTTTACATTTAGTTTTATTTTATCCTTGGCTGACATACTTTATAATATGTATACCACAATTTTCCCTTAGATTTACTTAAGGAAATCATTCATTATGTCACAAAGGAAAATCTCTCAAATTATTAACAGCAAATTTGACATTTGAGGTTATACAGTTTACAAAAATATATACATTTAACATCAATGAAGCTTCCTGAGTTTTTCATATAGACTTATAATTAATACACAGAATTCTGCAATTATAAACACATTTAGGTTTAGTAGGTGAGGCAACTATATTGCTGTTGGATAAAGAAATCTGACTTACAAAGCAAAAAGCAGGTATGATTATGAGTTTTAAAATGTTATGGTAATAACAACTTCAATAAACTAACACCAGAGGGACTTTCTAAGAATAGAAGCAGGCAACATGTGATAGTTTCATAAGAGGGTTTTTCTGATTTATGCATCTTGTTGGTACTTTAACTGAAGTGTTTAACAAAAGATTGGGTCTGACATTTGGCACCCTGTGTAAAACAGTGTCTAAAACGATGTGTTTCTGTATAACATTGAATTTGTCCTGAACTGTTTCATAGCCAAATATTAAACCTAAATATTTTTTGGCATATTTCCAAATGCATAAAAAAAGGAAGGTAATACAGGGAAGAAAAAAAAAAAAACTTTGTCAAGCTTCAGGGCTTCTCAAATGAGAGTTATACTTATTTGTTTACTCTCCAGGAATCCTTTGTGACATGTTATGCAATAGTTTTCATCTTAGAGTTAAATAAAGTCATTCCATCTTTATTTCCTCTCACACCTACCTTCCTCCATGCTGTCTCTGAATGAGCCTGAATGACTGATGGCACGTGGCCTTTCTTCTAGAGACGTGGCACTCCCACAAAGCTGGGAGTCATCATAGAGGTCAAAGGAAGAGTCTTGAGCTGGGATGCTGTTTGAGCGCAGCATGCTGGGACCAGGCAGGTTAAATTGAGACAGATTGGTTGGGCTCACTGAAAAACAAAGCATGCACAGCTTATTATTCTGGGGCTTGAATGATGTAAAGAGTGGGTTGATAGAAAGTGAGAATGTGATCACAATGGTTGTGGAAACACGCATTTATGTGGTGTCCCTAATCAAGGTATGTCAAAAGTCTGCCTCTGAAATATTCAATAACAGTTACAGTAGAGTTCTTCTTTTCTTCTAGTACTTTCATGGCGAGCAGCATACAAGTTCTAAAGCAACATTAAACCACCAAATCACATCTACTGTTCATGCTAGAAATTTAATAACATAGTGTTTATAAGCTGCCTGTTATAAAGAAAAGATTATCTTTCTAGAGTCTGTAGGCTTTTTTTACAAAAGAAAAGATTATCTTTCTAGAGTCTGTAGGCTTTTTAAAAAAAAAGAAGAATACATTACATTAATGAGAAAAGCAAAATTGAAAAGAAAGTAAAATATAAAAAAATCTGTTTTCAAAACAAGCTGTTTAGTCCTTCCAGGTAAAACTTACCATTTATTTTTAGTTCTGCGTATATTTAAGTTAATGGTCAGGACTTATTGTCATCTCATTGTTACCAGAGTTAGATTATAAAAGAGAAAGAGTAAAAGAAACATCTTTTTTAAACGAAATACAATGTAAAGTTTTTGGTATCTGTAGCCTATCATAGTTAATCACATATACTTCTTTCTATTGTATCTATAACAAGAATATCACTCTAATACAGTTGAAAGTCACAACATGCTGTGTTTCAGAAGTGGTATATTAAGTCTGTAATACAAAACAAAAAAATTTATTTGCCTTTGCTAAACAGTGCTAATGCAATTTAACATTTTAGGCAAACTGATAATCATCAGTAGAAACAAAGACGTGGTTGATGGAGTGTACAACTGCATTGGAAAACAATAGTTTTAGTATCTAAAATAAAGCAAAGCTGAAAACAAATTGAGAGATAAATTTATCATGAATTCTTATGTTTAAGAAAAGCAAGTTTGTTACAAGTATATGCAGAAGCAGGCAAGAATCTCTTAGAGTATGATAGGAACTACCGAGTACTTTCGAAATCTTGGGTAATATATGTTATTAGTTCAGAATTGATGTGCTATCATTTCAAATTTTACTACTTTGACCCAGGCACTACACTTAATCTTAGTATAATACAGTAGCTCTTAAAGTAATGTAAAATAGGAGGAGTATTTCCTAGAGTAATGGAAGGGGAGTTATCTCCTATATGCTACACACTATGCCAGATACTTTATAGGTATTAACTGTATTAATTCACAGAACTTCCCGCTGATAAAACTAGTTATTGAACAGGGTAAAAGAAGAATAAGAAAAAGGAAGAAAACAAGGGATTAAGAAATGTATCTATGTGTATATATGCACAATATAATGAAAAAGGAAGAAGCCATGGGTAGGCCATGTACAAAATCCATGTAAGGAAGGGCAGCAGGGAGGGAGGGAGGGAGATAGAGAAAGAGGGGAGGAAGGGAAGAAGGGAGGGGAAAGAGAGAGAGACACTCATGCTATTTAAGAATGTTCAATTAAGCTAATATCTATGAAGGGTCTGCTTTGTTGGTGCTGTGGGGAATAGAAAGATAAATATGACATGGTCCCTAATATTAAAAGGCTAAGAATCTAGTGGAGGTGACTCTGAGAGGCAGAAAAGAAAATATGTAAAATAGACCAAGAACAGTTATAGAATAGAAGACAAATATAAGACAGTCAAAGAAAATTTCTATAATAGAGCACCAATTGGTACAGGGCTTCTAGTGGTGGCTTTGCCTTCCATCTGACTGCAGGCAAATTTCCCAGTCTCAATTCTTTGGTTCTTCATGAATAACTTAAAAAATGGTAGAATAAATGGCCTCAGAGATCCATTCAACGCCAGGGAAAGCACCAGACTTTCTAAACTGGAGAGATATCTATGTGGCCATCTCTTAGGGCAAAGAGGGCTATGGACCTTGTCTTAAATTGCATTTGCACAGCAAAGCCACTGTTTTTAAGATTATATGTTTATTTGTCATGATTTGAGGAGGATGGGAACTGATAGAAATGTGGAGTAAGTTTTTAAATATCTCCAAGTCACTCCCAGACTTTACTACTATATCTGGACATATTAGTTACTCATTTTAGGACACTGCTTTAAATAAAAAAGAGTTATCATGTGGAATCTAATTTTAACATATTCTGTGGAATCAGGGAGTAGAACTAGAAAGAATAGGTGAAGATTCAGGAAAACGCTATCTGATCATTTAAAAGGAGAACTTGAAAAGTGTGCTATTTCTGGATTTAGGTAATTTCCTTTAACTGGTTGTTTCAAAGCAGAAAGTAGAGATGTCATAAAAATTTACATAATAGATAAAATTTAACCAGAATGATTGAATGTAGGCATCTTCCAGCTCTAAGATTCTGAGTATAGGTCTATGAGTATAGAAAAAAGGGGTTAATTCTGAACAGTTTGAGTGGGTGAATATGGAGCAGAGGAACAGAAGGGCATTCAAGGTGGAGAGACCCTTGGACTCAAAAGCATAGAAACTATTCCCATACAAAGGTGTTTAAACATCAGTCTGAATGCAAAAGGGTCCATCAAATACATAGAATTCGGTAGTGACGGGTATTAATGCTTCTCTAAGATTACCTTCGTGACAAGGTAAAAAATGAATTCGAACAATTGTTATTACTTACTCATGGGAGCACAGCAAGGAGTCTCGCCAGATTATAAAACGCCGCACCAGGATTTTGTGACCAATGGTAAATGACGTTTCATTCAAAGACTTACTTTGTTATATTCTGATAAGCTTTTTTGAGTGAAAATGGTTTCTATTATAGTTAGCTAGCCAGGAACTACACATTAACCATAGTCTAACTTTTGCAGTAGCTCTGCATAATCTACTGATCATGACATAACTGTAATGATTTTAAATTTCTATTGTTTGTTACATGTGATGTTTTACAGTAACATTTCTAGATATTTTATGTATTAATATATTTTTAATAAGGTAGAAGGTAAGAACAGATACAGAAAACATGGGTACTGCAACCACTGAATGTCAGTACTAATCATGTATGTTAACTGATCATTCAAAAAATAACTGTATTGAAAACAAGTGATGACAAGTAAAATTTGGGACAATGATGCTATCCATATTAATAAGTTAAATGTTACATTTTATATATTTAACACTTAACAACTAGGTAACTTTTATTTATGATTGCATTTTAATAGTACCCATTTTCTTGCCTTATAAATAGAAGCTCTGGTGATATGGGAATAAAATCACAACTTTAAAAATAATTTTCATATTTTTAAAATTAACCATTTTTTTCTCTTGTAAAACAACACAGCATAGAGATCTCAGAACACCTTATTTGAAATCATATATGCTTATACAATCTGGGTAAATGCATTAGAGTGTTGACATGTATGGGAAGGAAGTTCTTTCTCCATATCTCCCAACTGGTGAAGAAATTGAGAACAATGGGAGTGGAGGCAGTGAGATCAGTTAGAAATCTTCTGCAATTGTCTAAGTGAGACATTAAAAAAAAAAAAAAAAAAAAAAGCTTGAGCAAAGGCAGCGACACTGAAAAAGAGGGATGAACATAGGATATATTTCGGAGATAAAATAACAAGTTTTATTCTACAGAAAATGCGTTCTATGAAGGTGTGGGAGGTGAAGAATCAAGTTAAGACTGTTGATTATATTGAGAGTTTACACAGGAGTGGTTGATAGTGATATATGAAATGATAAGAGAAATAGAAAAAAATGAGCTTAAGGAATAACTTTTGAGGTGGCTATGTGATCTAGTATGCTGATGGGATTTTAGTTTTAAAACTCAAATATATGCCAGAGAGAGAAAGAGAGGTTGATCAGAGAATAAGATTTAAAGCTGTGGATGAGAGCATGGCAAATTGTTCTCAGATGGGAAGAACTCTAAGGCGAACACCTTGGTGAATATACAAATATGAAGGACAGATGGAGGATGAATTGTGTTGCCCAGGACACCTAATGTCTGGCACAATTATTAATATTGTCTTCTTTCACTCTCAAAAGTAACCTTGTTTGTACACTAATTGCTATAGCTGTGGGAGAATGAATTGGAAAGTCATGGAGGCAGTCAAGAGTGTGGTGTCACTGAAGTCAAGGCTGGAAATTGTTTTGATAGGGTGATTTGACAGCTGTGTCCAATGATGCTGAGAGAGGACCTCTGGCGGGAAGCACAATGGGCTAAGAGAGGGAGACTGCCGCCTAGAAAGGTAATCTTGACTTTCAGACTCTCGGAGTCTACAGAAACAAAATGTAACGAATGCATTTGACAAGTGGTTTTCAAATTCAAATCATTAGAATATTAAAGTTCCACAGAAGTGCTTTGATATCCAGTAACATATGTATATGTGTTTATATTCATTTCTTGAAATGTGAGTAGTTGTTAGATACCATTAGAAATTCATCTTCAAAAGACATTTCTCCTAAAATTACTTATTTTGACATTCTCAATCAGTCTAATTAAAGAACACCAGGGATTTCCAGCTAAGCCTTTTTTTTTTTTTAGTTACTACTTGAAATAACACATCCATGTGAATTTATATTTTCTCTATGATGTCTTGCTACAAAACAAAAGAGAGAAATGAACTGGATCCCAAGAATTACATAAAAAGTAATCCTCTTCACAATCTCAGATTTCAAACTGTTTGTTAAAACAACTAGATTGTTTATACTTGAACTTTATAACATAAACTTGGACTTAAAATCTGAATTAATAAACCTTTGATTTCGTTGTTTATAGTACTGAATTTCTGTTTAAGATTTCATATAAAAAAACCAATAATTCGTAAAAGTGGAAACTGGAAGGATTGGGTACAGGCTACTCAATTGTAAGTTGTAAGAATAGATAGAGAAAAAAAGATTTAGAATACTATCTTGAGAGTAAATAGGATCAAAGGAGAAAACAGTCTTAGGTAAGGAGAGATTTGAACTTGGTTGTGGGCTAAAGGAGAATAAATATCATTACCTTGAATGTAGAAAACCAAAAAACCAAACCCGTTGCCATCAAGTCGATTCCGACTCATAGCGACCCTATAGGACAGAGTAGAACTGCCCCATAGGGTTTCCAAGGAAACCAGCGCCTGGTGGAGTTGAACTGCCAATCTTTTGGTTAGCAGCCATAGCTCTTAACTACTACACCACTAGGGCTTCCTTGAAGATAGAAGGTGCCTAAAAGTATTTATTAAATGTGCTAACGAATGAACAGGAATGAATATAAAGAAAGGTTAAGAGGAAGAGAACACTTTATGATGCCAGGCCCTAAGGGTAATGAGAAGAGATGGATAATGAACCACAGGTGAAGTGTTCACTTTGGAATATTCACACCTGCTCTTTTGACATAGATGAGAAGGCCTCATGATGCAGAAACTGATCAGGATGAGTGAATATTAGGAAGTGCATACTGAAGGGCTCCAATCTTCCTTGAAAATTAGGTGGTGGGGATTTTTTTTTTTTTTTCAAGAATAATGCAAAAGGAGGATTTAACCAGTGTAATAACAATGGCAAAAATAGTAGAGTAAGGAATCAGCTAATGAAATTAATGTCAACTAGTGAAAAAATTGACAGGAGGCAAGATGAGCCTCACCAACTCATAGCACTTTTGGTGATTTGGATGTGTTTTAGATGTTGCATAAAATCAGATTCTAAATTAGAATCTTAGATACTTAAAGATTTTTTTTCAATACACTTGTTTTGAGGTTAACATGTTATGTCTTTTGTTGTGTTTTATAAATATGACTCAAATCAATAAAAGCTAGACATCACTTGGCATGAGGGAGCAAATAAGTCTCAGCAATGTGTAAATTTATCAACAAAAAAAATTGGTATTTGATATGAATTCATTAGCTTATATGGAACAATGACCAAAATAATTGCTACCATTGCCATTGAGTCAATTCCGACTCGGAGCAACCCTATAGGACAGAGTAGAACTGCCCCATAGGGTTTCCTAGGCTGTAATCTCTATGGGATCAGATCGCCAGGTCTTTCTCCTTTGGAGCGTCTGGTGGGCTCGAACTGCCGACCTTTCGGTTAGCAGGCAAGCGCTTACCCACCGCACCATCAGTATATCTAGAAGAGTTAAAATAGAAAAAAAAAAAAAAAATAGCTTTGAGTGTCCCGACAGGGCTTAAGGTTGGGAATCCCAAATTATTGAAGAAGGCGGGCATTCTGTGAGTCTATTAGAAAGAACATTTTAAGTAAAAAGAGACAAAAAGTGAGGCTACTTTATACGTGATGTTATAGAAGAGAAATCTATTTTTAAAAGCATTGAATCTATTAAAAGATAACTGGCATGTTTAGACTTCTTTCATTATTTTGTCATTCTTCCTTATGTTTTCTGTGATATTTATGCAAATGATTTTATACAAATGATGCTATGCACAAAATAACCCAGTGGCTAAACTAGTTGATTATTTATTTTCCATTTATCTAAAATATGTTCCCAGAGTACTGTCTTAACAGATATACACATTCCAGCGAGAGTTTTAATTTTAAAAATATGTCAGAAGAAGTGATCTTGGAGTTATGGAATCACGTTTTTTCTTCTTCCTAATTATTTCTATTTGTCTACAAAAAGCCTATTAATTTTGTTATAAAATATTTGAACACTTTAATGAAAAAAAATACAGAAATGTTTTACTGTCTTTTAAGAGGACTCTGAGATAGAATGGAAAGGTTCTTAGGCTAGAAGTCTCATGTTGTGGGATCAATTCCTGCCTCTGTCCCTTACTAGTAATGAGACTTGTCAAGTCACATAGCCTCTCTGAGCCTTAGGATGCTTCTCTATATAACAATGATAATATTATTTGGAAATTATTCTGTAAGCAGTAAATAACCATACTAGTAAAATACACTGTTAAGGTGTCTTTATCATCTTTTAATGAATAATTGTTATGGAGAAGTACCACGGCTCCTGTGAGGTGGGTGCTGAAAGGAACAAAATGGAATAGATGTTTTAGAATATTTTACCCAAGTTGGAAAAGTGGTATTTTCCTGTTGCAGAAGATGACATGGCAGAAGGGGAGACCAGAGGCGACTGGTTGCCAGTATCCTGCAGCCCTCCAGTAGAATGAGAACGCAACCATTCTTTGCCCTCTTCTTGGCTGGCCTGTCGAGATGATGGGGTATATCTGCAAAACATCACAGCTAAGACACTTAAGCGCATCCACACGGCAAGGCGATCCCAGCACAGGAAAACAATTGAGTGCAGCTTACTATTCAGACTGAACAACATTCTCAAACAGACTGAACCTAATTATAATTGCTTAGTTCTTCCAGATGATTTCACACCATCTGTTTGAATCTCACAGGAAAAAAAAAAAAAGTAAAGGATTCTTGAGAAGAAAATTATGCTTCTGTGAGATATGAATTTGAAAATCATAAGCAATGAGCAGACAGCTAAGTTAATTGAGAAGGACTCAAAAGCGCAGTGTTTGGAAGGATGTGAAAAGGGTGAACATAGATTAAAAATGGTGGACAGTGGTAGTAGGCCAGAAGCCAAGCGAAGTGGAATGATGGTCACAAAAAGGCACTGGAAATGGAACATAAATTGGCAACTATTAAAAAATGAAGAAGGAAAAATATTTTGTGGTTAAAATGCCACTTAACGTCATATGTGCTCACTTTATTAGAAAATAAATTTCCGGGACAAAATCTTTGGAAATAGAGTAATTGCTAGCTATTTGCTATTGCTAACAAATTGGAAAAGAAAAGGATAATAGGGAAAAGACCTATTTTGGCCAGTACTTACTGTTTTACCAGAGGAAGTAAATTCTTGAAACCAAAGAGCAGTTAGCTTATCGTGTTCATACAGAGTTACTCCTCTGTATCCCCTCCTTAGATAAAAGTGTGCAGTAAAGGATAGCCATGGATTAAATTTTCATCTTCTTTTTCATTATGAAATGAAAACTTATTTTGTGATTATTATATGATACTCAAGTAAGACTAATTCAGATTTACCAGCACCCCTGAAAAATAGAAATTACCCTAAAACTATTTTGAGTTTTTACCAAACGGATTCTTTAAAAATTATACTTTAATGACATTATTTTTCCTCTGATGATGAAAATATGTATTCTTTGATTCAAATTAGAGCATCCTTCAAACTTTCAACATTACTGGCCACATCTGTAGACAATATGGGTTTTGAGGTTTTGCAAGCATATGCCTCCAAGACGCAAAAGTTAGGGAAGTTAACTTCATTTTAATTTTCAGAAGTGAGTTTTGCATTCTACCAAAAGTTGCTGCCCCACACCCCCACCCCCCAAAAAAAAAAAAAAAAGAAAAAAACAATGCCTTGGACATGTCCTTTGAACAGTCTTATTATTTCCAAATCGTGATATTTATATTATGTTTAATTTACTTTGAGTCTGGGCCTCTACCAGTGTCTCTGAGGACTATCTCACCAATTCCTCGGGCTAGAGAAAGCATCAGGATTAAAAGTGATTTCATCCTCAATGCCAGGTGCTATGTGGCAAACAAACAAAGACAGAGGAAGAGAGATAGCACACAAAGTTTACATAACAACAGAGAAAAGCAGCAATTGTGCTGAGAGAAATATATACCTTAGTCCCTTTTTGGGTAGTGTATTTCTGTCAAGCTGCATGCTGTTAAAACAAAGAAAATCCCTAAGGACATAATGTAAACAGAACTTCCAAAGTACACATCCAACAAAAATGGTTCTCTGTTTGAACCACACAAAATAAATTTTTGTAACACATGCTTGATGCTTAACTCATTGGAAAAGGCTGAGCCAAGGGTGACCAGATGTCCATTTCTGTAACACATGTGAGTTTCTTTCTTAGTATTGTTCAGTAATAATTTAGCGATAGAAATATTTAAAAAAATAGTTCAAATCATATGTTATCATAATTCCCCTCTGCATTCTATTTACCTAATGCCTCATGTGACTGACTAGACTTCCACTATGATTGCACATGCAGGTAAATCATAGAGCTCAGAATGAGATAGATCACCTCTAAGTTAGAATAACAAGTTCCAATGGGCAGAGAAGATATAAAACACCCTTTAGTACTTATATTTTGACGACTGAAATATTTTTAATAAAAATAAGGTCATATTTTTTCCTCATTTACATATAAGAGAAGAAAAATAATGTATGATGGGCATCTGCTTGAAAGTCAATGTTTTGCCATCATTTATTTAAACATTGTAATGAAATTAAACTATGTCATCTCTTGGAGACTATAAATCTGGTATTAAAAAGGCTATGTTTCATCAGTCTCTATTTTAAGTAATTTTCAATTGATCACTGGAAGGGATGAAAGGATATGTAAAGAGAAAATGAGAATGGCCTCTCTAAAAAAAGGGAGAAATGGTGTCTATCAACAACTAAGTGGGGCAAGTGTAAGAATTTTTGTTATAACCTCTGGTGTGTGGATAACTAAGGAGTAAAATTCTTTTGGATTTGCAAAATTATAGCTCTCTTCCATTAGAACCTTAAATGATCAAAATTAAATACACGGGAAATGCATAATGGGAATGATACAACATGAATGCAAACACAGTGACTTGAAATTTAATCTCTCAAAATCAAAGCTAAAATGTTTTCTTCTATTTGTACTCCATTATTTAGCACTACAACAGAAAGCATCCAAAGCCATTATACAACTTTTAACTTTGTTTATTGGAAATACCTCCATAATTAAAAAAATATATTATGTAGAGGTCTGTTCCTGTATTATATCTCGACTATAGAAGGTTTCATAGCAGTGTGGACATATTGAACAAATATGAACTATTTTGTGCTCAAACATTAATATGGTCATTAGCCATTTTAAATATTATCTCTTTCATGTGTCTACATTTATTAAAGTTTAATGTTGCAGAGCAAATTGAAAATAGGCATTTTTGCCAATGTTAACCAACTGTTTAAAAAATAATAGGTTTATATGATGCTGAGCAATTTAATGAAAGAAAAATTAGAGAACAAATGCATTTAAATTTAACCAATTAAAGTTTTAAGTAGAAATATCCACCAAATCTGGTTTAATAATGATTTTATAATGTAGACATTTCCCACAAACCCTTGAGTCACAAACACATATGCCTCCAAGGGCCAGGCTTGGATTGAAAGGCCAGTAGAAAGGAATGAAGTGGAGATTCAAGCCAATGCTCTGAAGGAGGGTAGGCATCGTTTGGCTAAACGAATGTGAAATCAGGATTCCCAGATCTTCTGCCTTTTAAAGAAAGGCACAAATCTAGGTTCTTATAGAAATATCCAGATTTGTAAAGTTGGTGACTACTATACAATTTTTTAAACATTGGTTAGGCTACCAAAAAAAAAAAAAAAAAACCAAAAACAAATATGTACTGGTTATGGCCCAATGGCCACCCATGATCTAGAGCTGCTATAGAGGGAAAGTTGTTAAGGAAGGTATGTATGTATGTATGTATTTACTTATTGTTTTATTCATTTTTAATAAACAAAAATTAAAATCTTTATGAAAAACTATTGATTTAATGGTACGAGGCTGGAAAAATCAATAAACTATTTAAAAATTGTAGATAAACAGGTTAAGTCATAGACTTACGTACATCTCTATTACACATCTCTAATTAGTTTGCCTTAGATATTGATGCTTGAACACACTTTCTCTCAGGTATGGCTCTTTAGTTTTCTTAGCTTTCCCAGTATTCTGCTGACTGCTTAGTTATAATTAAGCCAACATCACAGATCAGATCTATTTTTCTCTTCAATAGGTTATAAGCTGTCTGAAATGTACTTTAAAGAAATATTTTAAACTAATATTTCTTGTAATTTGTTCTCAAGAAAAGTAAAGCACAACTTCTAATATCACAAAGTATTTCAATCCAGTTTACTGGAAAGATACAATTGATAATTACATCATATACTATAGTTATGAAGATATTAAAATTTACACTTTACAACTTAATATTCATCAATATATTTCATTAAGAATCAAGGGCAAAACATTAATTTATTCAAAATTATTTTTATTTAAAGTTAACTTTAGAAAAAAAATTATTTTAATGCCTATTTCAATATTAAACCCCGACCCATTGCCATCGGGTCGATTCCGACTCATAGCGACCCTACAGGACAGAGTAGAACTGCCCCATAGAGTTTCCAAGGAGTGCCTGCTGGATTCAAACTGTCAACCTTTTGGTTAGCAGCCATAGCTCTTAACCACTATGCCTCCAGAGTTTCATTTCAACATTAGAACATTCCTTTTGTAAAATTGGCCTATTTAAAAATCTGAACAATGAAAAAGATCTCCTTAAAGAAAATATTATATTTCTACAGTGAAAATCTATATTGACTTCTGATAAAATATAGATCAGAGTAAAGTATTAAAATTGCAGGTAGGTTATATCTATAAGGCTCATCAAATTGGCCATTTGTTTTTTATTTCAGGGTTGCTTGATTACAAATAGTTATTTGGATATTTTTTCTAAGTCTTTAATGCCTGAATGCCAAAGAAGTACATTGATGGCCGAATGGTCAATCTGTTACAGTCATCTTTATGATTAAAAAATAATAATAATAATAATAGTATTTTGGAGATGATTCTGGTTAATAATTTATAACCTAATTGTAGTCTGCTTTAGAGTTTGGTTATCAGATTGTTATTTGCATTCCTCACATACCAGTAGACAATGTAGGATACATTTACTAAAATTATAGGTTGCTAATAATGTATTTTCAAGATAGTTTGATTTACTTGTTGGATGTTTTGAAAATAACATGTGAGGATGCCCATTTACCTTAAAATTGCTGAAAGTAGACTCTAAGGAGCTTTAGGAAGCCTAACTTCTTAGATCAAAATTAAACAAACAAAAAAAAAAACCACAAGACACACGGTTGTTATGTGTCCTGTCTATAATAGTAGAATCAGAAGGGAAATTGGATGCAAATGCCTACATTTTAGTTTCTGTCACGAAGCTTTTGTCATATTTCTCTTGGTCTAGTTTTTTAAGAGAAAAATGTGTTTTGTAATTAGTAGCCCATCATCACAAATATGAAGCATCAACATTCCAGTTACTTCTTTTTTTCTTCTTTTTCCGTTTTACCGAAAGAAAGTCCCATTTGCATAACTGTCCATGTAACCTTGCTAGGGGCAATGGAGAGTAAAGTGGGATAGAACCAACTGGAAGAAACAACATTTCACTCTGGGTTTTGTATTTCACAAGGATCCCTGGTGGCACAGTAGTTAAGTGCTCAGCTGCTAACCCAAAGTTCGGAGATTTGAACCTACCAGGCTCTTCGAAGGAGAAAGATGTGGCAGTTGGCTTCGTAAAGATTTATAGCCTTGGAAACCCCATGGGGCAGTTCTACTCTGTCCCATAGGGTCGCTATGAGTCAAAATCAACTCAACAGCAAGGGTTTGGTGTTTTTTGTTTGTTTGTTTTTGTATTTCACAAAGGCAAGAGAAACAGGTGAGAGCAGAATGGGGAATCTTAGATTGAGGGACAACTCCTGGTATACTGTACAGAGAGTCTAGGTAAGGGCTGGGAGTAAGGGTGGAGATCTGGAAGAGAGGAGATATGCCCCCATCACTATCAGAGTGAAAGAGAGTTTAGGGCAAAGGATTGGCATTTTCAACGAGCAGTATGCTTCCACAAATAACTCAACTAAGACATGTGGCCAAGACAGCTTTTGAAAGTTTTAGGTATGCCAAGAATCAAATAGCATTAAGGTATATCAGGAACAAAGTGGCAGTTATATGACATTTTCCAGGAGGTAAGAGTCAATACCAAAATTTCTGAGAAAATATTTTTTTGAGGGAGAATCTATGTCATTTTGCTCATGCTGGTAAGCATTAGGTAAGGAATACCTTGTTGTGTTCTCCACATTAAATGAAAAAAAACTCATAAAACCAATAGGAAACACCTTGTAATATGATTAATTTTCAAGGGGACTATTAAAAATGTCACTGGGATTATAGTTTTCTCTAAGAATTCATGGCTGACAATTGATTTCTTTTTCCCATTCTACTAGGATTCCCAAACAAGTCATTTGTTATATTTCCATAGAAGTGCTAATAATGCAAATTTAACATTCTGCTCAGAGCATACTAGTTGAATCTTTTTAAATTTGGTCTTTGAAAATGCTTAAATTATTATAGGGAGCTTGTGTTGTTTTGGAGCTAAAGCCAAATTGTTAAAACGTCTTGAGAAGACATCATTAAATATATAAACACATGCTTTGAGTTTTATTCAAATTGCCTACTGGATATGTATGTGTGCATTCTTACAAAGAAACTTAATATCCAATCATCCTACACTTTTAATCTTCTGCAGATTTGGTAATAAGAATAAATAAAAGGCCCAGTCTCATTAATCTTATGCCCCTTCGCATGGTGGCATGCCCACCGAAATCAAGGAGATTTAAGGGGAGAGGGTTGGTCATGGGGAGGGAGAGGATGAGGATTTCATCAATGCCTCCAGGAAATCTCACCTTTCCGAGAGAGTAGATCTCACACTACCCGTTCTCATGAGCAGGCTCTGAACCTCGTGAGTGCCTGTGGTCAGTCCAGACAGAGAGCCATGATGGCTGAGGGGGAGATCAATGGACTCAGAGCTCGTATGGAGGCTAGTCATGGACTGGTAACTCGGAGTGTCCTTGCTGCCGGCAGAGGAACTGCTCAGATTGGCAGCCCACACAAGACCACCTGATGTGAAAGAGTGAACCGATGCTGGGCTGGAAGCCAACGAGTGACTTAAGCTTATAACATCTGTAGTTAAGTCTGAGGGTTTATTGAAGAGAGGGCTGCTGCTGCCACTTAGCCCACCAGCACTGCCCATGCTGCCCGTACCGGACGATGGTGATTCCAGACTGCCTTGCCGCGCTAACGTGGTACTAGGACTGGGCATTACTGAGGAGGATTTCACACCCTCAGTATTAGGTGCAGAGGCAGATTTGCCACCTGCCTTGGCACCAAACAACCTAAAAGAAAAACAAATAACAACTTCAGTTGTTCCAAGATACTAATATCCACATTTAATATTTAGGGTTACAGTAGACAGAGCCAAGTGTGCTTTGGTGTACTGAGATACCAAGCACTTCCTGTCTCTACATTAATAGACTTAATATTAGCTTGGACTTCTTAATGAAGTGCTGAAAATCTCTCATATCACCAGAGGGATAAGTCAGTACTGGGCTGCTACCCCGGGGGTAGGAGAAGGGGGCAAAACTGAAGTAAATCAAACATGAAAATCCCTGACTTTCACGATTTTAAGTGCTCATGAGAATCCTTTTTGCAAATTTAACAGTTTGACCATACTTGCTGTTACCTATTTACAGAGCCATTATAATGAAACAACTTCTACGCATTCGGTATATAATGCTTATAAAGATTTTGTTGTTGTTGTTTTGTTTTTTCTTTCGTGTTTAATAGTTTATTCAAAATCTAAAAGGGATGTATAAGGCAAAGTTCAGGCGGTTAATGCTGCATAACTGGTGGCCTGAGTGACTGTCAGGGAGTAGGTGGTTAGACATAATATTGGATACTGCTGCATGTCAGTGTGTCTGCCATCTCCCCCAGAAAAGGCCAAAGGGTTTATGTCAGTTGCCAGTGGTATTCAAATATATATTTTAAAAACACAGTTGGTGCTAAATTATGTTGGAGTTTAGTTTAGAAAACATTTTAGTTTTGTAAGTGAAGCAAATGATATAATTGAATTTATGTAAACATGGAAGTAAAGTGATATGAAGTAATGGCATAATGATTACTATTTAAGTTGCAATGAAATCCATATTTCCTATAGTGAAATATTTTATGACGAATATGAGAAATTGTTTCATAGGTAATGGGCCACAGGAGGGCACTATTTGCTCTCAAACTTAAGCAACAGAAATATCTACACTCACTCCAAGTCATAATTTATTTTTCCAACGAGAATCAACATTCCAAAAGGCTTGTTCTTCTGGATTAATATTTCTACCGAGGAATATAAGCTCGAGGTTCTTCAAACACTCACATATGTGAGATTGCTTGAAATGTAAACGTTTCAAGGCCCTTTATTTCCAAATAAAGTTCTTGGTTTAGTCAGTAAAATAAGAACAAACATTAAAAGATCTTTAACACGTAATGGACGATAGATCATACTCTATCGTTTTGCAGATGAGAAATAGACCCAGAGGTTTGAATATTTTTCCCAAGTCTTTCACTGTATCTATTTTCCTGCTACTTAAAACACATTGGTATTTAAAAACAGCAATGTCTAAAGCAGAACTCCACATACTCAATACCAAAGACAGTCCCAGTGTAGAAACTAAGACGTGCTGCTTACCTGAGTCACTGCAAAGAAGGCTGATAAAGAGTTAGCCCACTCTTTAGTTTTTAATCCTGTACCAAATATCTGAATATTTTAAAATTCTGTCAATCATATCATATCTTTATATTATTGAATATATCAAGATATGGTACTGTTTTCAATTCTCTCAGTCATATCATACCTTGATTTTCTTTCCTATGTCAAGATATAGTACCGTACAAATATATCCAATATAACCTGTTACAAGAAATACAACTTCATTTACACTCATGATCATCAACTCATTAATAGCTACCAAGGTCATGAACACTGGCAATAGTCATAAAGGCCTGTTTTGCTTTGTTTGTTAATTATGCAAGTGAGGGGTGTGAATCTATGGAAATTTTACGGCTATTACTTTAGCACTACCCCTGGATATTGCCATCTGCTTTTAAGTCTCTTCTGCATGCTGTTTGTGTTGCTAAAATTATAATGACAGTGAAACCAGGATGTTTGGCCATTTCTCAAAATGCTCACTGATTTTTTGTTAACTATTTACCTGATCAGTTTCTTACGCTTCTTAGAACTCACTGAACTTCAGAAACTAAATACAATAAAATTAAATAAAAATAAACTGTATCTATCCATCTGTCTTAGACTATATATTTCCTTTTATATTTCCCCAGCGCCATTTTCCGCATCCTTACCTTCTAAATGTAGGTGAGGCAATATCAGGATACTTGGATCCTGGCTGCCTGAGGCCTTGTGTCCCACAGGCACTGGCAGAAGTGGGGCTGGATTTGGGGGAACTTGACAAAGAAACACTCTCTGAATCTGAGACTGCGACTTTTTCCTTCTCCTTGTCTGTTTGGTTGACAGTGACAGGACTGGAGCGCCCTGATCCAATCTTGGTTGGTTCTCTGAGTTTTGAGGTGGTGGCACCAGCTGACTTGCTGCTGACGTTGGAATCAATACTGCTGGTGCTGGATCTGTGGCCACCTCGGCCAGGAATGCCACTGGTGCTGGATTTCGAAGGGCGGGGCAAGCTGCGGTACTGTAGCGTGGTCTTTGAGCTAACGTGTAGCACAACATCATCCTGATTCTGTGAACCGTCCAAACTGGTTTTTCTCCCTGCATTTGACTTCCCACCAATGGCAGCAGATTTAGGAATTTTACCCAGTGTTGCTGAGCCACTTGTGATGGTTGCTCCACTGGTAGTGATCATAGTAGATGACCCTACTCCACTCGGCTTCTTAAATCCAAAAGAGCCAGTGGCAGTCGATCTTCCAATGCCTGAGGGTGGCTTTTTCCCCTCATCTCCACTGCTTTTCCCTGCATCTGAAGGAGACCTTTGTAGAGATGATCCTTTCAGGGGAGTTTTCCCTTTCTCAGAAGCTTTGGCATCATCTGTTTTCCCTAATCAATAAAAATTTACAAACATAGGTGTCTGCACATATTAATACTGTATTTCTTTAAACAATATGTAAAATGTGAATGCTTCTTTATATTATCTCAGTTCCTGAATGCTTATTGTTTTAGATCTAAATAGGCATTCCCTCTAAAATACTGAGAAAACAAGAGTGTAAACCTACAAAAATATGGCTGTCAGGAAATGCTATGAGAGATCGAGGAGACAAAATAAACACATACATTTTTTGCTATTTATTAATGTCTTATTTCTTGCAAGCTGTCCAGCTAAGTGCTAGAAAAAAAAATTCATTTCAGTATCTGTGAGACAATTATATTTGGAGTGTATTATATCAGTACTTCAGGTGGCACTATGTAAAATTAGACACTATTTAAAAAGTAGTTAGTGAGAGAGTTTTCAAAAAAAGGATAGTACCATTTGGCAGAATTCTCTCACTCTTTTTATTTTTTTATAAAGCCTAATTCACAAACAGTGTTTCAAATCTCCAGCATTCCAACCCTTTAAATTAGGGGAAGTGCTACTCAGAGTTTGTAGTAAAACACAGTGGCATCCTTAACATAAATATTCCAAACTTTCTCAAGGAAGGCAGAATGAAAGCAATCTTGTTATTGAATAAGTAGTCTTATTTTATTTCCACATGACCAGAAATGACTGTGGCAAAATATGAAGACACCAAAACCAAAAGTCAAATCCACTGCCTTTGAGTCCATTCTGACTCATAGTGACTCTATAGGACAGAGTAGAACTGCCCCATATGGTTTTCAAGGAGCAGCTGGTGGATTTGAACTGCCGACCTTTTGGTTAGCAGCTGAGCTCTTAACCACTGTGCCACTAGTAGTCCCAAATCATGAGGGTTCTCTACAGCGGATGCCTAGATTATTATATTCATGTGGGCTTCTAGCAAAAAGTATGTAAATTTTAGATAGGAAAAATCTTTACATGGACCAAAAAAACAAACAAACAAACCCATTGTCATCGAGTCAATTCCGACTCATAGTGACTCTACAGGACAAAGAACTGCCCCATAGTGTTTCCGAGGAGTAGCTGGTGGATTCGAACTGCTGACCATTTGGTTAGCACCCGATCTCTTAACCACTGTGCCACCAGGGTCCCTTACATGGACAAGAATCTCATTAAAAAAGGGAAAAATTATTAACTAGAACAAAGACTGAACGAAAACAAGAAATTAAAACACTTAAGTAACAGCTTCCAAACCACAAGCTTACCAGGTGTCTTGAGTGCACTTGTTCCGGCTTTCTGCCTGGATGGTGTTCCCCCTTGGGCAGACATGCCCCTTCTCCAAGAACCTGTCTGGGAAACTGACAGGGAGGCTTTCTGCCCTGATTTCTCAGAGTCTTCAGGAACTCCCGAGGAAACACCCTTCCATTTGCCACTACCATCCCCGTGGCTGTCAAGGTCCTCTTCTGATTTTTTCAGCTCCTCAGTACTGTCCCAGGTCTCATCTGTTACAGAACGTTTCTCTGAATCTGTCTTCAGCTATACAGAAAATATTATACGAAAACTTTATGTAGCAGACTCTATGAAGTGTGAATTAAGGTGCTGGAATATACTTTCAGGTAAGTGGTAAAGAAGCAGCACTGATTTTTATATTTCAAAACAATTCCAAAGATTCCTCTATTTTTTACCTATGACTTTACTTAAGTTTTATCAATTTTAGTCATTTAATTCTCACTTGGACATATTAGAGGATGTCAGAATAAATATGTGTGGAAAACCCCAATTAAATACTCCAGAGATGAATGGATTTTCTATGTAAAATGTAACAAGAAAACATGATACAATATGAAACTTAGTTATTTAATATCTATTTTTGATTTACCATTCACAAGAGATCTAGTCATGTCTTTTAGAGGCCAATATAAAAGTAATCAAAAACTATGAGAAATTAGACTATTAAAATGCTTATTAGAGTTTGTAAAAACCCTATTACAAGAGATACGGTCATTCTGGGTGATACTGTAATCAATAGAAAATATCTGATTTAGACGATTCAGAATAAGTTTAGGTGCATGTTGTACCTCCTGAGGGTGTAGCTCTAGGGGAGACTATGATAAAGACATTTCAGGGGCAGGGGTGTCAAAGCGAGTCCTTCCTTATCCAGTGTCTACAATTATTTCAAGTGTAGGTGTTGCACTATATTTTACACTAGTTAGTTAGGTGCCATTGAGTTGGCTCCAACTCATAGAGACCCTATCTACCACAGAACAAAACGCTGCCCACTCCTGCATCGTCCTCACAATCATTGATGTGTTTGAGCCCAATGTTGCAGCCACTATGTCAATCCATCATGTTGGGGGTCTTCCTCTTTTAAACTAATTTAACATAATTTGGAGAAAAAACTGGTGGAAGTACTGGAAAAAGCAATAAGGCAATACTCACCTGAGTGTTCTTCCTGGAAGGGACGGTGATGTTGGAGTAAGAGCTGACTGAGGACGTGGTGTTCAGGTCGTCAGTGCTGATGTTATCGAGGGTGTCACTAAGACCACTGCTCACGGAACTGCTATCATCCCAGCTAAAGGCAAGATATGCAGCCGCAATTACCGAAGCACAGGACACATAATGCAAGTCACCTACATTTCCACACAACCTTTACCATGCATTACAAAGACTATTTTTTCTTTTTAACTTATGATGAAAAATTACTCACTTTCCATTTTGGGAAAACCATATTTATACGAATTGAACGTAGACCTGAGAATAATCTCATCTGATATTTCAAAAGAATCAGCATCTACCGTACATCTGGGTTCTGAAAGAATGTTTGTTGGGATGAATGAAAACACTGCAATAAATATCACATGGTTTCAGGGAAGAATAACATTACAGCTGACTTTTTTTTTTTTTTTTTCTGAAAAGCTAATCAGGAGTCACAATGCATCCAAGAATTCATCCTTTGTTCTAAAAATAAAAAAACTCTTTTAGTCACAACCAGAAAGTCATTCTTTCTTATTTCTTCAACGTTAGCAACTACTTCCAGTCACTCTTGAATACTGATACTCATTCAATCATATCATCCCTCCTGCCACCCCTTGAAATTTCTTGTCGGTTTAAAGACATCTCTTCAAATGGCTTAACTATAAGATCTCATACTCCGAAATACCACTTTTGGGCCACAATCTTCCACACTTTCAGTGAGTGAAACTCTGATCATTCCTAATTTTTATGTCCAGTTTGTGTCCAGAACAGGAAGCTGTTCCCTGTTCTTAACAGCTCTCTTGTGTTTTTTACTCCACTGACATCTTTACCAAATGATACGGGATCCAAAGATGCTGGGGCCAAAAGAGCACTTCAGTGATGGTCTAACCAGTGCTCTATTCTAGTTTTCCTTGCTTCCTTAATAGTCTTATGTCTGTCCTGACCCTATTTTAATTAAGACATGTATTTTTCTCCATTCTTATTTTGGAAAATGACAAGAAAATCATGATTCGATGCCCAAAGGCTCAAGTTATCTAACCTCAGGTAATTTCTCAGTAGTACTAAAAAATCCTATGTTTTATCCAGAAGTAATTATCTTCAAATTCCCAGTGTAAATTCTTAATTTCTCTCTTCTTCCTCTGGATTACAAGGTCTTCCTCCTAATACAGTTCTGAAATTGCTTTCAGAAAGGTCCAAAACATCCAAGAATTGAGTGTCTACTATGTGTCCTACTCTTCTAAGTACTCAATATGTATATCTAGTCCTCAAAACAACTCTACGAGGCAGGCATTATTATTATCCCCATTTTAGAGTCAAGGATAAAAGAAATTCATACAGATTAAATAACATTTCCAAGATCCCATGATGGTGGAGCTGGGATTTGAACCCAGGGACTATGTCCCCAGAACTTGGTCAGCACTTTGCTCCTATGACTCTCATCCTCTCACCCCTTCTTTCTTTAATACACCAAACACAGGCTCTTTGCCAGCTTCACCTGGGTCCTCAGAATCCTCTCCTTATTCCTCTTCTTTGGGATTCCTCTGAATTCCTCAGTATTCAGGACTTAATATTCCTCCGAACTCACTTTAGACATTGTTCTTTGGAGACTATTTAGTCTTCCAAACTTCAGTATCACCTCCATGATTTTGACAGCTAAATTCACATTTTTAATCCAGACTTCCTTCCTACTACTAAATTAACATTTTCTGCTGCCTACTGGATAGTTTCTCTAAAGTAACCTGTCAACATCTCAAATTAATTCTGTCTAGTTTATATAATTTCTCCTTAGAAATTTTTTCTGCTTTCAATTATTGATAGTATCTGTCAATCCCTCTGGCTTAAAATATTGGTATTATTACCTCTCTTCTGTCACTTGGCTCCATTCTCTGTCAAGTTGTCTTTAATCCTGTAAAATCCTTCTTAACTATATGTGCTATGGCCACTCTTTTTTCCATATCCCCACTGCCCATCCCACCCACAAAAACTATTACTGAATATCTCCTCTTATTCATTAAATGATAAATAAACCACAGGTCCTCTCTTTGAGGAACTTAGCGTTTACTGGGAAGGACAACAATATAAACGAATAATTATATTATAAAACAGTAAGTGCTGTAATAGAAGTGGGTGGCAAGGCAAAGCCACTATGTCTTCTTCGACGAGTTGAAAATTCCCTTCGTGTTAGAGATATTGCAGGAGTCATCAAAAGATGATGTACTATTTTCATCTTTTTATGGTAGCATTTATCACCTTTTATAATAATTTTGTGCTTGTCTACTGTTTTGGCGGTAATCTGAATTCCTTGAAGTAGGGACTATGCTCTATTTATCTTTATAGCTCTAACACATAATATGGCATTTACTGTGGAATGCATGACTAGTCAATGTTCGTTAAATTAATAAAACAGTTTTACTTTCAAAAATGTTGCTTCTACCCAATGTTATATTGGATTGAATCCAATAATAAATGCAGATTTTCATATACATTTTCTCAACATATTTCTTTGCTAAGCAACCTTGAAAAAACAAATTTTGATTGATGACAATATTACTTTCCTAATGTTAAAGTTTCACGACTTCCATCTTTGATTTTCCAAATACTAGAATCCTCCCTAGCTAGGATGCAATTAATCCTGTTTATTGTGGCACATTTAACTAAGTTTAAAAAGCTGCATAGAAATTTTTTTTTCACCAAAAAAAATTACAATTCACTGTTATAATTAGCTCTGAGTTGTAGGTGTCAAATCTCATCAAATGTTTTCTCTTTTTATTTTTAATTTCATTAGGATATGCTAAGAGTGCTTGACTTTAAAAAAGGGCAACTCTATCTCCTCCAAATTACAGATTTATCACTCTGCTGAATTTTTTATCCAACAATCTATGACAGCTCAATAAATTGCAAATATGCATATTTTATAAACAGAGTTTGCATTTAATGGCAAACTTAGGGTCAAATAATCGGCTATTCTATATTTGACATAAGAATGAAAATAGCTAAGAATTATTCAGAGTTTGTTCCTTTGTATTTCTGAGTAGTTCCATTACATGGATATACCACAATTTGTTTGTCTACCACCTGTTGATAGGCATTTGAGTTGTTTCCAGTTTTCAAATTCTATGAATAAATCTTCTAAGAACATTCATGCACAAGTCTGTGGATGCACATAAATTTTTATTTTTCTAGGATAAATACCTAGGAGTACAATTCCTGGGTCATATGGTGAGTGTATTTAAGAAGCTGCAAACTCTTTTATAAAGTGGTTAAACAATTTTGCATTTTTACCAGCAAGTATGAGAATTCCGGTTGCTCTACATCCTTGACCAAACTTGATATTTTTAATATTAGCCAATCTAGTAGGTATGCAATGTTATCTCATTGTGAATTTAACATACATTTCCCTGATGACTAATGATGATGAGCATCTTTACATGGGTTTCTTAGCAATTTGAATATCTTTTTTGGTGATGCAGAGGTTCAAATCTCTTGTCTACATTTTTTTATTGTGTTGTTTGTTTTCTTATTACTGAGTTGTAAGAGTTATTTGCACATATTGTATACAAATTCTTGTTAGATATGTTTCGTGGATATTTTCTCTCAGTCATGCTGTAGCTTGGCTTTTAATTTTCTTAATGGTATTTTTCAAAGGCCAGAAGTTCATAATTTTGATAGTGTGACAAGGATCAATTTTTCAGAGTTTATTTTTCTTTTCCTATTAAGAAACCGTTGCCTACATAAGGTTGCAAAGATTTTCCCCATGTTTTCTTCTGGAATTTTATAATAGTTTTGGCTTTTATATTTAAGTATATGATACATTTCTCATTAATTATTGTATACAATTTACGTTACAGATCAAGGTTTATTTCTTATGTACAGATATGTAGTTTTTCCAATATCCTTTGTTGAAAAAAACTATTCTATCTTGCATTTAACTATGTTGGCATCTTCGTTAAAAATTAATTCATCACATATATGTGTTTCTGTTTCAAGATTCTCTGATACGTTCCATCCATCCATTCGTATTATCTTTTTGCTAATATCACACTGCCTGGAATACTGTTGCTTTACGGTAAGTCTTGAAATTAGATAAAATAAATCCTACAGCTTTTTTCTCCTTTTAAAAAAATTGCTCTAGCTATTCTAAATCTTTGCATTTCCATTTTAATTTTAGAACCAGCTTGTTAATTTCTACAGAAAACCTGGCAGTATTATGACTGGGATTATATTGAATCTACAGATCAATTTAGGAAATACTGATGTCTTACTGAGTCTCTCTAATAAAAAAACAAGAAGCATTTCTCCATATATTTTGGTCTTTAACTCATCTCTGTAGTGTTTTGTGATTTTCAGTGTAGAGGATATATATATATTTTTAAATCCCTGATGAGTTGGAATCGACTTGACAGCAATGGGTTTGGTTTGGTTGGTTTTTAATTATTTCATAGTTTCTGATACTTGATGCTATTGTAAATTATATGTTTTAAAATTCATTGTCCCATTTTTATTACTAGTATATAAATTACAATTGATTTTTCAATCTGGACTTTGTATGTTATGATGTTAAATTCACTAATTAGTTCTAGTAGATTTTATATTATCAATTTATTTGCTTTTTTCATACATGCTCGTGTCAATAGTGTATAAGGGCTTTTTAATTTTTTACTTTCAAATCTATATGCTCACTCTTTTTAAAATATTATTAAATATTTTAATGCATTAACAAAATGCAAGCCTTTATCTCACATTTAACAGAAAAATATTCTTTCCCCTCTGATAATAACATTGTCATAATATTTAAGTCCAGAAGGGACTCTAGGAATCTATCCAAATAAATAATCGGAGATGTTAACAATGATCATGTGAAAAAAAAGATCATCCCAGTATTCTTCTTAGTTTAAAAGGAATAAACTACTAATACATGTAACAACATGGGTGAATTTCAAATACATTATTTTTAAGTGAAAGAAGGTAGATTCAAAAGGTTATATGCTGTGTGATTTCATTTATGTGACATTTTAGAAAAGATAAAGCCATAAAAATATAGGACAGATCAGTGACTGCCAGCAGTTTGGAATAGGGGAGGCTTTGACTACAAAGAAA